CCCCACACGTGCGAGAGAGATTTATTTCGCCTCGGAGGCAGCCCAGCCCTACCAGATACTACTACTCCCCCGCACGGACGTACCCGCCGGCCACGCCACCGCGCGAAGCAGCCGCCGCGTGCAGTCCTCGCCGGCGACCGCCGCACCGTCGTTGAGCCCGTCTCCAGGTACGCAAGCCCCGTCCTCCTCCCTTGTCTCCTGCTTCCGACCCATTTGGTGGCGTGGCGCGTGAACCCCGAGCCGTGCACGCGCGTGTCCCGCCGCAGCGTTCTCCGCCGAGGCGCGCGGCGATTTGGAGCGCGCGCAGGTGCGCGCCGATGGCGGCGAGCCAGGCTGGGGGAGAACGCTACTTGCTGCTATCTATTATGTCGACTGTTAGATCTGCATCGTCGTTGATCTCCATGTTTTCCTCTGGTGTTCGTCTTATCCCAGGGTCTCAGCGAGATGAGGGCATCCTCTTCGTCCGCTACGCCGGCGGCTCGTGCGACCGCAGCGTGGGCTGTCGTACTGCTCGCCGCGCTCTGCTCCGTCTCCCTCGCGTCCGCGTCCGTCGACTCCGTCTCCCTCGCGCCCGCCTCCGTCTCTCTCGCGCCCGCCTCCGTCGACGCAGGTCGCTAGCCTTGTCTCTCAACACTCGTCTGGATGTTTCCTTTTTTCCATTCACAAATCACACGGACTTGCGTTTCAATTTGAACCCTCGTACGCGTCCGGCTAAATTTCTCCCCGATGCACTTATTGCGGTGCCATTGTACTACTTTTACCAAGGATTGATTTCTGATAAATTGCAACGAAGTGTTCCTGCGCTCCGTGTGGTTCAGGTGTTTGTTAAGATCCCGGGACTTGATTAACCTGGAAATTTTGTTTGTTGGAAAGATCGTCGTTCTACTTCGGGTGGCTTTACTTTCCAAGTTCATGACCGGGTCCATCCTGTCTGTCCATGTCCATCTATGTACTGTAGCACACGCGCAGTCCTACTCTTATCTATTGTTTGCACTCGGATCCTGAGCTAACGATTTTTCCTGGCTCCGTCTGTTGCTGCAGGATTCTCGCCGACGCCCGCCGCTCGCGCCCCTACCCCCGGCTCCTCGGCGGCTCCTCCGCGCCCGCCATATCGCGCCGTCCTTCCCCGCAAGGTCCTCCGCCCGGCAGGTAGTTAATGCATCCTCCGATCATCCGGTCAATGATGCTTTGGCCAGCCTTCTCGCCCCGACCAGCGTCTGCGCTCGTGGACCCTGGTTCTGCTTCTGCGCGCGCAGGCGTGGGGGGTACTTTGAGCCTGTCGCGTGGGCCCAGCGCCCTTCTTTTGCTTTGTCCTCGGATACGGGCCCTTTGGGTTGATGCCAGTTGGCCATTGATTCCATCTTGTTTTGAAATCTCTCACATTCCATTCTGTCCTAGCCCTGCCTGCGTAGTGAATGACATGTGGGGCCATCTCCTTTTTGCAGGCACGGACGTGGACCTCGGCGGAGTCCGGCCGCACCGCGTGGACGAGGGTTGCGCCGGCAAGGAGGACATCGCCATCTACCAGGGCCGGGGGACGACGCTGCCGAGCGGGGTGCCGGCGTACACGGTGGACGTGATGAACCGGTGCTCGGGCGGCGACGGCGACTGCGCGATCGCTGGCATCCATGTGCGATGCGGCTGGTTCAGCTCCGTCAGCCTGGTGGACCCGCGCAAGTTCCGGCGGCTCGCGCGCGACGACTGCCTCCTCAACGACGGCCAGCCACTCCTCGCCGGCGAGACCATCTCGTTCGAGTACTCCAACTCGTTCCCCTACCAGCTTTCCGTCGCCGTCGCCACCTGCGTCGACCCGGCCGCGGCCGCGGCCACCTCCCCGTAGCACTACCCTCTACACACCGTACGGCGCTAGAGGTAGCACGTACGTGACGTGCGTGCGTAGGCCTAAATACGTATAAACTCAGATATGTTACGTACTCGTCCTAGCTAGACAGTGGTAGGGCAATACGGCGATCGGTATAGGTGTAAGTAACTGGCTGGCTTTTCTCTTCCCTAGCTGCTAGGCAAATTTCGGTACGCGAAAAAGACCAACCGTGACACCTCGACGTGATCCGGAGCTGTCTTTTGGGGCAAGGAAGGGGGAAATTCTACCGTGTTTTTTGGCAAGTCAAGTAAATGCGACAAGTCCTTTTCGTGTGCATTGTCTACTTTCTCGTTTTGGGTGAGTTTTCCCGGCCCTGTGTGCAAGTGTTCTTTCTCATGTGGGACGGACTGCCTTCTTGCCTAGGCACAAGGGCGTCATTGCTGCTGCGCCGTGTGGCTCGTGTAGCCTAGTGCAGCTGGCTACGCCGTGTGGCTCGTGTGTAGCCTACTGTAGCTAGTATAGTCTGTACTGCTGCTTGCTCTAGCTGGCTACCAGAATGACAGCCGCGTGACCGTGTGAGTCGTGTTTTCCGGGCAAAACCTCTCGCACCTCCTTTGTGCATGGGTCTGTGTGCGAGACATGCAATGTGTGATTCGATGGGGCTTTGACAGCTCTGTGATGGGTACATTAATTGGACTGTGATGTCCTTTTCTCTCGGGATGTGCATGGCTCCATAGCTGGATGTGGGATTCCTTGGGCTCTCCTCCCAGTAACCGATGACGTGGGGCTACTGTAGATGCACCCACCGTCGTCGCAGGGGAGCTCGAACACCTCCTCGATCGTGATTCGTGATGGATTGCTGCCTTTGTTCCCAGCCGCAGCGATCGGTTCCGTGCAGTGGCAAAACAGCAAAGCGGGCGGTCTGCGCCATGGTCGATGGCGGACCGCCTCTCAAGAGGGAGAAAGCATCGGGTGATACCGAAGGTTACGTGGACCCGGGTCATTGGACCTGAAATTCAAGGGTCACAGGATGAGCTTCTAGACTTGAGCTAGAATATCAGATATCTAGAGTTCTTTTTTGAAAAGTTTCAGTAGCCTATCCTTCAACCTTTGGATTTCAGATCCAACGGCTCGTGTCATCTTGTATATATTCTTTCGTATCACCATATACTCTCTCCCAAAGGAGGAGAAAGACGAAGACGGCGCGGAGCAGACAGTTTCGGCAGTGAGCAGAACCGCCTCGATCCATTCTACGTCTTCGACAACAACTGCCACGAGGATGACAGCAAGGCCAGGGCCCGACCTGATGAACTTCTTTGGTCATCGTTTCGTTTGTAGTTAGCAGAGCTTCTCAATTTTTGGTAGTCCGATGACATGTGTTTAACTACATAGGATGTTGCATGAGCTAATGTGGATTTGAGTATTCAGTTTAGATGCATCCGGTTGTGGAGGATAATTTTATGTGATGTCCAGTCACTGCGTGCGGAGACGCGTCCGTTGGCGTTTGGGAATCGAAATTTGGTACTTGTGGTTGTACATACTCTGAGTGAGTCCCGATAGATGCACATGATCGGTTCGGACGCGCAGGGCCATCTGCGGTGACACGTTTTGGTAGGAGAATTGGAAGGTACTACCAATCCACTTTTTTAGGGTTTGCTAGACATGGCATAGAAACTTGGGGTCTCCCTTGGTTCTAAGGTGAACTCCAATGGCCCCAGACAAACACAAAATATGTCTGATTGGGTGGCTGTTGCGTGCGTTGGATGCACTGCCGACCCGGTGGCGTCATGGTTAACGAGGTCGCGCAGCGTTGCCTCGAAAATATGTTTTTTGGGTGGTCGTGCTTTTTGGGGAGCCAACTTGTTCGACATTGCGCCGCTGGGGGCTGTGGCCTAGGATTTTTGTTGGCGGCGGGGGGAACAAAGTGGGGGAAAAGGAGTGGGCACGGCTCCCCCGCCCCCGCACGTGTGGCATTTAAAAGGACCAGGAGCTAGTCGTTGGGTGGTTGTCGCGTGTGCCCGGGGCAGACATCGCGTGGACGCACGACACATATGTCGCCTGTCCGTGGAGACACAAACTCGACCCAAATTTGGGCTCGAATTGGGTTCCGCGGACACGAAACCGGCAGAAACGTGAAATGTGTCGCCGCATTGGGCCATAGCTTATGTCCACGCTGATAGAGATGGACGCGAGCGGAGAAAATGCGTCCCCGCGTTGGAGTTGTCCTAAGAGCATCTACATGCGGGCTTGGTAAAATACCCCCCCACACACACACACACTAAATGTTTGCGGATGCATTCAGCGTCACCACAGACAGCATCAGACGACCCCCCAAAAGTCTTGTCCGACAAGCCACACTCTTCATATCTAAAGCCTCAAATCCATGTAAATCGATGCGCGTCCATCATACACATGAAGATCACATGATCATTCAGTAGTTCATCAGGATGGGAATGGACCAGCCCGCCCCGGCTCAGACTTGGTCCTGCTGGCCCCTCTCTTCTACTGAGGGACATGGAGCCGGCCCAATGGCCCGATACTAACCGGGCTCAAGTTTCACTAGCACCATGGGCATCATCCCAGCGACAGCGAGGAGAATCCGGTGTGGAGGCGGTGGACTCGATCGCGTTTTTTGTTCACAACTAGGGGTCCTTTCTGCAAAAGTCCAGGGACTTGCTTATAATTCCTACTTTCTTTGGGTCCTTTTGTGCTTAGTGTTGTATCGTTACTTTATGAATAAAACGTCCGGATCCTTGGGGATCCACGTGCTGTTCAAAAAAATGTTTCATTCGGTAAATTGGGTTGACCCATTTTAATACTAGATTGTAATAAAAGGAGTATTTACACCACAACATTATTTCAAGCAGCATAATTTAGCTATAGGGAATTTTTGTAAGTTATGACAATAAAAATTTATTTGTCCAAAGAAAAGAAAAGACGCCCTCTATTTTTCGGCAACCTTATGTGCAAAAAATTAACTTGCACATAGCTTCTTCTAAGGACGATGTCAACACTCCATTGGCCATTTTTATATTCTTAGGGTGATAAGTACATATCATCCATCTTTACTCTTAGGGTGATAGTTGTGTATCGACCATTTATATTAGGAAGAAAAGTATAGTTAATCGAACGTATGATGATTTGGTAATACCGCTTCACCATTTAAGAAATTATATTACATCCATGGATCAAAATAAACCCATGAAGGGTAACCAATCATACCTAATGATGAATTCCATGGCATAGGCATTAATGCCATAGTTGAAGAATGTGGATAATGTGTAAACCATAGATTTTGATGTGTGGATGCAAACCTTCGCCATGGTTGTTCATAGTTTTCACTCTTTTCCTTCTTCACCTTTGCAACCCTTTTTGCAATGGGAAGCTTGCGGATTGTTCTTGCTTAGAGTAACTCCTTGGGGAACCCATGCCATGTTTCTCTTTTCAAGTTCCTATGCACTTAGCTTTTGTAGTTTCTTCTTTTTCCAATATGATAAGCCGACTGGGCGCCTTGGCTATGATTTTGTTTCAAGCAATGGCAATTCTTGTTTTAGCCTGTGCACTCTTGGGACCCACAAGTATAGGGGATCATTCATAGTTCTTTCGATAAGTAAGAGTGTCGAACCCAACGAGGAGTAGAAGGAATCGATAAGCGGTTTTCAGCAAGGTATTCTATATAAGTGTTGTAAAGTAGTTGTGACAGATAGTTTGATAGCAAGATAATTTGTAACAAGTGACAAGTAAAAAAGGTAACAAGATGCAGCAAGATGGCCCAATCATTTTTATTGCAAAGGACAAGCTGGAAGTACTTCTTATAGTTATTAAAGCGTTCTCAAGGACACATGGTAATTTTTCCTATTAACTTCATCATGATTCATTGACACGTGTTCACTGCTTTGATAAGTTGTTAAGGCATATCCAATGGCAACCCGCAAATTTCCTCCTACATCCGTCCACAGATAGGAGGGCCAGTCCGCCGACATGGATGCGGGAGGACGCCATCCAATGCTAGCCGCATACATTTCAACCCGCATTTTGACAAACTGGATGAAATTCATGCAAATCGACCGATGTTCATCAAAGTTTGGATAAAAAATAGCACAGATCATCCAAAGATACCATGCAAATTAAGTCTAGTACAACAAGGTCTCAAATGCGACTAGATCCCGGATGTCCAACAAGTTTTTCATGAACAGATCATGTCGTCCCACACATATTCCCCCTTCAGCTTCATCCAACAGTGTGTGCACATAAATGGCTATCCCTCTATCCTGTGGTACATCACGACAGCTCGTGTGGGCTACATATAATGTGTAGACCAACATTAAGTGAATGAATCAATCAACAAGTTGAGCAAGAGGAAGAAAAACCTTACGATCTCGTCCTCTGCTGCACACAATGGCCATCTTGCCTCGAGCTGACGAACCACGTTGCAAAATTTGGTGATACTGATCTGGATAGAGTGCCAGCGATACGACAACGAGCTCATGTTGCGAGGTTGAATGATGTACATGTCGTAGGGCACAATGTGCTTTCGTGCGTGAAAATTTTCATGCACTTGCTCCCAAAAGGGCTCACCTCTGCTCTTGCCTACGAAATCCGTAGATATGGCCAGCCGCGCATTGCACAGCAACTCATCCTCCATGGCCGAGTAGCTGACCATCCTTCGTACTCTAAAAATGACATATCATTTGAAAATAAGCTCAATGTCTTTTGAGCGAATACCCGTCGGGCGTGCTGTCCGCCATGGAGGTCGTCCATAGGGGCGGAGTGTACCTAGGTATGGATGGCTCCAGGGTGGAAAGCTCCATCGTAACGGCGAGCGGGCGCATCGGCGCTGGTTGCGGACGTCCGGCAATGCCTCTATGGAGGCTGGATATGTACAACAACGGCGACGGAGGTGGAGGGTGCAGATGCAAAGCAAGCGGGGAGAAGGGGCAGAGTGGAAGGAAATGGGACTGGGAGGGGGGATTGGGTGGTCATGGGTGTCAGAGTCCTACATTTGGGTGTCTGGACTC